GAAGAGAGGCGCCCCCATTCCGAGAAGAGGGGCGCCCTGACAGCAGCTGGGCGCCCCAGCAAAAAAGGAGCCCCATAATAAGAAAATGGGTGCCACTGGCAGAAGAGGGGCGCCCCAGCAGAAGAGAGGGGTCTCCAGCAGGAGACAGGCGCCCCAAGCAGAAGAGGGGCGCCCCAGCCGAAGAGGCACCACAGCAAAAGTTAATCAGAAATAGGGAGCCTCCAGCAGAGGTTGGGCCCGCCAAACAGGATATGGGCGCCCCATTGACAATATCCGGCAGAAGACAGACGCCCCAGCAGCAGATGGGCGCCCCCGGTAGAAGAGGGGCGCCCCACTACAAAAAGAAAAGGAGTATATTCTACAAGAGGGGCGCCCCTGACGACAGCGGAAGGGCAACCCCAGCAGAGGGGCGGTGCCCCAGTAAAAGGAGAGGTGTGCCCCGTTCCGAGCAGCCGAGGGTCGCCTCGCCCCAGAAAAAAAAAACAGGAGCCCCATAAGAAGAAAAGGGGTGCCTCTGGCAGAAGAGAGACGTTTCCCGCAGTGGAAGGGCGCCCCCACAAGAGTGGCGTCTCCAGCAAAAGAGAAGTGCCCCCTGCAAGAGAGGGGCACCCCACCAAAAGTTGGGCAGAAGTGGGGCGCCTCCAGCAGAATTTGGGGTCGCCCAACAGGAGAGGGCCGCCCTATTCACAGTAGAAAAAAAGACTCCTCAGCAGCAAAGGGGCGCCCTAACAGAAAAGGTGCAATCGTAGTAGAAGTGGGACGCATCAGGAAGAAGAGGGGCACTTCTAGCAGAAGATGGGCGTCCCAGATAAGTGGGCCGCGTACAGCAAATTGGTCGTTCTTAGAAGGAAGAAATGAGGCAACTTAAGCAAAGTGGGTCTCTCCATAATGGATTAGGCGATCCAAGCAGAGGTTGGGCGCCCCCGGGAAGTGAGGCATACCAGCATTAGTGAGACGTTTCCAGAAAAAGACCGGGAGAAGAAGGACTGCACCAGTAAATGGAGGCCACCTTTTTGCTAATATCTTTTGCTAGGGTAGCGGTGCCCATCTACGACTTTTAACCCGTACCGTGCTGGTGGTCTGAGTTTTCCGTGTCCTGCTGGGGAGAGGGGGGGGGGCACACTCCCTCGTCTAACTCGGCTCCTGGGCCGCGTAGTGACACGCGATAAGCGGCATTCGAAAGATCGTCAAAAAAAAAAAAAAACAGGACGAAAACAAAACGGTCATTTTTTAGGTCAGGTCGAATGTCAGGTCACCAGAGGTCAACAAAGGTAAAATGTTACCTGCTTCAACATTTTTCCGTTTTCGAAGCAGCAGCACATAACTCGGAAACCAATAGAGCTATAGCGCCGCAGAAAAGCGCATTCGATAGCCCTTTTAAAGGTGTTTCTGCAAGCTGCGCTCATATTTCACCTCAGGTCAACGGTTTAGCCTTCAGAGGGCAAAAGACTCTAAAAATAGCCTTTTTACGAACAATGTTTTCCTGCAATAACTTTTCACTCAAGAGAGTCTCGACATTACGTTTGCCAGCATTGCGTTTCTGTCGTCGAGACACGTCGAACAAACTAAAGGTTGACCTTATGAAAGGTAATTTTGAGAATTTGACCTCAGGTCAAGGTCATGACCTGACCGGGAAAGGTCATGCTGCATAGCAGTCGATGCGTATCGTCGAGCTGAACACAGCTGAGGTGTTTTTATCGCTCTAGCTTGAATCTATCAAAAGTTGTTAAAAAAACTGCTGCGGACCTTTCATGACATGGGATGACCTCTGGGACATAATGAGTGGTCACACTAGGTGCAATGTTCTTATTCAGTGTGTTAATTTTATATGTATCCCAATGCTTGATATTGTCTAGAATGGCGCTCGTCCAAAAGAGATGCCTTTCAGTTTTCTCCCAAAGACTTAATTATACCTACCTACCTAATGGAGACGTCGCACTACTGACCTGAACTTAGGTCACAGATATCGAAATTCCGAGATATACATTTCATGAATAGTGTTGCTTTCATCAATCGCTGAAAGGTTCAAAGCAATCGTTCAGTCGGTATAGCAATGGTAAGCATTTGAACTTTTTCTTAGGCTAGGTCACTTGGCATAACCTGGTGACCTGACCTTCCATCACCCGCGTCAGACATTTTTACAACATGTGCAAAAAAGATGCATGATAAGGTATGCTGAAAATGGCGGCGCTGCGCGCAGCCGTTTTTCAGATATTTGCACCTTTAGCCATATTATTTTTTGAGGGGGAGCGCGGTAACGCCCCCTAGCACGGCGCGGGCTTTTAGCTCCCGATTTTGACGGTTTGGCGCCCCCTTTGTATGGAGCGCCCCCGGATTGCCAGGTCGCCCCTATTTCGACCTGCCGCCCCCCCCCCTCCCGAAAATTCCTGGATCCGCCCCTGAGAAGAAGGCATGCTATAAGTCCGTTCCATGACATGCTTGCACTCGGAGTTCCTTCGGCATATCGCTTCTCTGCTCAAGAATTTGCGCTTAATTAAAATGTATGAGCTGCACTTCGGCCGCAAGCTTGAAACGGAACAGAGTTATAGGATCTTTTATTACATTAGATCCCACGTGAATACTATACCCCGTATATATGATATCAGGATCAGACGACAAACCATAGTCGTGGATTTATCATACGAGTGCGTTCCACAGCATGCAATTTGTCAAACCAGGCTCAATCTTATAAAAGCCGTGGAATGGATATGGTAGCCCTGGATGAAGTTCAGCTGCAGTAAACCGCTATCAAATATAAAATGGTTTTCACGCATTTCAGTCCATCGTATGTTGGCGGTCCAAAGAATAATTTCGTGGACTCGGATAACCGTTTGTCGGCAAGTTGGTATCACTGTACTGTACGTAAATGTTACCAAATGACGTGAGTAGAATAGTACGGCACTAGGGTGACCCGCGTGCTCCGCAACGCGAAAAGGGGTATTTTCGATCGGCGGGTGTTCGGTTGTTCTTGTGTTGGCTGGGTTATCTATCCATTTCGGTCGATTGCTTTTTGACGGCTAAACCATGGATGAGATAATAATGGATTGGTGTCTTCGCAGTTTTTGGCGACATTGAGCTCAGGCCTGCCATCTAGCGGGAGAATTGTCGTAAGTTAGGAGCAAGCCGAGTGAACGCCGCTGATTAGCATTGTGACACACGGGAGTGTGGTGTAGTAGCAGGCTTGTTGTGCAATTTTTCAACAGGTTATGTCCTTATATGTCAGTGAAGGCGAAGAAATTATTAGATTTATGTGCAGGGTCAGTAATAAGATAAGCAGTTCCATGTTATTTCCTCATTAAATCGTGAAACAGGGAGTTATTGGAGACTTCGCCAGCACGTGTCGTTTTCGCTATTTTTCACATGAGTCTTTACTTGACCTAAATCAAACAAATTGTCCGGATCAAAGAACAAAACGAACGTAAGTACTATCTATAAGTATAATGAAAAGTTAAACGGAATTGCTAACGTCATTGCCGCTCAATATGTAATTCAAGACGCTCTATGAAAAGGACCCAACCAGTGCTGCGTAGTCGATGAAATTTCAGTGACTTTGGCTCCAACTCCGATTCCGGTATTCAAATATCGACTCCGACTCCTCCGGGCAGAACTATCGGTTCACACAGACTCCGACTCTGACTCCGGCTCTGCAGCGCTGGTAAGTCTGTGGAGTCGATGACTTTTCGGTGACCTTCGACTCATACTCCGACTACAGCTTTTAAAAATCAACCGACTCCGGGTCGGAAGAGAACCGCTGGCTCTGACTTCAATTCCGCAGCCCTGGCCCAAGATAGCCGCCTAAAACAACTTTGATGTGTGAACTTCTTCGTACATGGTCATGTTATTTTAAACAAGGAATGGAAAAGGGAGACGAAGCCTTCACAAACAGGGATCTCCTGTTGCGGATCAATCAGCTGCTGGAACAGAAAGGCATAAACACCACGCGGCACGCATCTCATTTCATCGTTTTCCTAATGACTCTGCACCAATGTAAGCACTGATCAATGCAGTGCGAGCATCGATGTGACATTTGTATACCAAGTTTGAGTGTTATCCGCCCAGCCGTTCTTGAGATATGGAAGCGGCAGTCGGCACCCCGCACGTGCGCACGTGCAGTAGCACCCCCATAGTGACACATGGACATGCATTGGCCACTGGGTGCCTAACTATTGACGAAGTTTTACTGTAATGGGCCCAGCCATTGCGGAGTTACTTTATGTGGAACAATTTCGACACCCCTAAGTTGGCACGTGGCACGTGCCGTAACATTAACTAAGATGAAGAAAATCGGGCGAAATTCGGAGAAGAAGGAATAAGCCTACCAAATACTTGTATGACATATTGTCAAACTGCTGTACCCTTGTGAGTAAATGACCACATAAAAGGTAGTACAAGCCGATCGGACTGGGCGTTTCAATACACACCGTCTTACGCATTTTCTTTTCGTTATTACCTAAAGGCTGCTTGACGTTTTTGGCTTTCAAGCATTTAAGACATTTTTTGTCGTCTCAGGTCCAGTAAGATTACCTCCAACTCGTGGGAATATGCACTTCAAGCCAACTAACACACCACATCCACGTGTGCCATAATGCTGAGAGATGGCGTTCACTCGGCTTTCTCCTAACTTACGATAATTCTCTCGCTAGATGGCAGGCCTGATCCCAATGTCGCGGATCCCAATGTTAATTTCCACGAGACACCAATCCAGTGTTATATCATCCATGGCTAAACGTTTTGGTTTGTGGAAAAAATATCCACCGCATCGAGGTGCCCGTGTCTGATAAGCATGCTTTCCACTTCAGAATCTGTCAAATGTGCTTTATAATTCCTTGACGATATATTTTGTTAAGCCAAAAGGTTCACATTCAAACACAAACTCTGCACAAAGAAATGACTCAAGAACTGAAGTCAAGCGTCACATACACATACACCTATACACACAGAGCCGGTCGGGGTCTTTCCGCCGTCGGTGCCGCTACCCTGTGCTCCCTAGCGCGCCGCGGTCACAGCGCCCCTCCGGCTCCCTCCACGCTGACTGCTTGGTTGCAAAGGTTTTTGTGGAGGTAGAAGAATATGTATCCGTTTCTCTGGTGTCCCTCGCCCAAAACTTCGGCCTCGTCGACGCAGCTGACTCGGCGATCGTCATAATGGTACCATCGGTCCCTGCCGACGCTGTATACGTCCGACACGTAGTGTCCGGAGTGCGTGCTGCCGCCGTGGTGGCTGACGACGCTCACCAGTCGGTAGGTAAAGTCGCCGGCCAGGTCCGTTGAGCAGAGAGACTGGTCGTCTTCCACGCAGGACTTCGGGAAATGTACCTGCTCCGCGGCGTCGGCCGGCGCTCCCTCCTCCAGCGACCTCATCATGGCTTCCTTGAGCTCGCGGTCTTCGCGGGTCCGCGCCGGATTGGACTCGGGGTCGGCGTCCTGCGCTACCAGCTCGGCCTGGGCTGGCGGCAACGGCGGCGGCTCGGCACCGGTCGCTGACATGGGACGCGCCGGCGCCGCGGCTCCGGTCGCCACCGGCGAGCCGACGGCGGCGGACTCTGGCAGGCCGGCGGTGGCGGCCGGTACTGGAGACGGTCCCCGGGCGGTGGCCGGCGGCGACGGACCCGAGCTGGGCGCCTCAGCCTCCTCGAACTCGGGGAGGGTGCATCGGGAAGGCTTTGAGCACTTCCACTCGGGAGGCCGGGTGACGTCGTCCGCGACATACTCGTTTAGCGAAAGGATCTTCGGAATGTCAACATTGGCACGGATTTTTATCGATTTTCCTCCAAGGAAGGCGTACCGGTTGAGCTGGAGTATCAGCGTCCTGGGCAGCTGGCTTATTTTGGTGGTGACGCGGCACTCGTCATGGCGGCAGTGCTGACAGAGCAGCTCGCGCCGGTCAGGCCGCATGCACAGCCGCAGCGCGTCCTGCAGCGTGGGCGCCTCTGTGCCCTGGTGGCGCGGCACGCTGACAAACCAGCTTATGTTCTCTTGTTGTTTCAGTACCGTTTCATGACACTTGGTGCACATGTAGCTCTCGATGGTCTGGTACTGAAAGTTGTCTCGCACCGGGTTGTCGGTCGGCCGCTGTGCGTCGATCTCTTCCTTCAGGGTGTCTAGCAGGCGCAGCAAGAACTCGTTGGCGTCCTGCATCTCGATGCCTCGGAACGCCGGATCAATTTCGGCGAACACGTCGCGTAGGTCGTTAAGATGGCTAAAGACTGATTTGCTAAGCGCCTTCTGGCGCAGCACCATCAGTTTGGCGACGGCGCGCAGCGTGCGACACTGGCCGCTCACACCCGGGTCCGAGATCAGGGAGACCATCTCACTAACGAACGGTCGCAGGCCCAGCAGCGACTGCAGGGTGGCGTTCTGATAGCAGGAGTTCCCGTAGTTGGGTAGGCCGATATGCAGAGGGTCCTTGCCGTCCTTGTCGGAGTCTAGGGGCCGGATGGTCGGGATCAGCTGCAGGTCGCGGCTGTCCGTCTGCGCCTTACCGCAGTGCAGCTGCAGGCTCTTCCCGCCCTCACTGGACTTGCGCAATGACGACGGCGGCCGCATCTGTTGACTGGCGGCGAACCGCGAGCCGCTCCAAGTTTTCGTCGGCGCGGTCCGGGCAGCTGGACGCCCGCTCAACCGATCGCGACGGTCGCGGACGCCTGGCCTTGGGCGGATGCGGCGAGCCGCCCCCTCGTCGGGAGACATCGCTGAGCCAGCGCGGCGACGGCAACTCGTTCTCGCGCGCCCGCAGAGGAGACGAGCTCCGCCGCGGCGAGGAGCGCCATCGTGAGCCGCTGTCGTCGTTCTGGTAGCTCTTGCCGCTGCTGTAGCTCGACGTGGGCGTCGGCACGGAGGCAGGCGCGCCGCCGGCCAACGACTTGGCCGCCTCCGCTGCGGGGCTGGTCGCCAGCGCAACGGCTGGTGGCTTCACACTGGCTGTGTTGGTAGTTGTATTCACCTGTTGCGGCAGTAGTCCAGATGTTAGTAGGACAGAGGTGGCGTTTCCCCGCATCACGGCAATTGACAGCCGTTGCCAGAGCCATTCTGTCTCCCGTTTCTCTCCCGACGCAGCGGTCAAACGCGCACCAAGCTCTCGGATCAGGGTTCTGGTTCCAGGGCCGCAGGCACCGCCGGTCTCAAACGCAACCGGTTCGAAACGATAGCGCTGAGCAAGATCGGCGTACTTGTACCGTTTCCTGACCTCGGCGTCCCGTGCTGCTTGGCCAGCAGCTACAGCAGCTGACGCAATGTTGCAGTCGGCGAACGTGCTGACACACGTTGCGTCCCACACTAGAGACATGCCGCTGGAGAACGGGTAGAGCGTCATGCCATCTGGGCGCTTTCCGTCCCCACGGTCCAGACCGATGGGCTCGAGTAGAGCAGGGATGTTGGCTGAGAGCAGAGCTCGCCTGAGCACGTCGTTCAGTGCTGTGTGTCTGGGATGCCTTCCAGCACTGTAGCGACAGGTCAGTGAGTGATAGCCCAGGCCATCTGCCAGTGAGCCGCATCTGCAGCGATGAGGGCTACACACTGCGGCTCCCACACGCAAAGCGATCGAAATCCGCAGCGTCTCGTTATTCAGTAGCGTACCGATGGTGGCTGACGGTATGGCACGCAGCCAGGCTCCACTTTCAGGAGTTGCTGCACTTAGCATTCGAGCACGGGCAAATTGATTTGCCTGCGAGAGCAGGGAGTCAAGATGACGCTCGGCTAAGGGAGAATCCCATGCTCTCTGATGGTTTTTGGCCTCACCATCTGGAGCCGATCTGTCCCCGGCTTTGCTCTGCCAGACCTCTGTCACTTTTGCTCGTTCTTGCATGACAGAGGCGGTGCATGCGGTTGGCAGCAGTGCACAAATGTTCAGCTGACTGCAGTGCAGTGAGGCCACGTAACTAGGCAGAGCTACATCTTCTGTTCGCCTGAGCCCAATACCGCCATACCTGACTGGTAAGACCGCCTGTTCCCAACTGGCATCATCAAATCTGACATTGGTCAGGCCAGCCAGTGAAGACTTGAGCTTCTTGTCGATCATCTGCAGCAGGTCAGGCTGTTCATACAGGGGGGCGGCTCTAAGAAGATACTGCAATTTCGGCAGCCAAAGACAGTTGCAGAGCAGAAAGAAGGCGCTGTGTGCGTCAAGGTGGTGGAGACGCTCTATCATGAGGTCCAGTTCCTCCATTTTCTTCGCCATAACTGCTCGGGCAGCAGTGTCCGTGATGGGAGCCCCGAGAACCGTCAGCTCGGCGTCGGTCACAACGGGGGCGCGCGGGAGCAGCTGGTGGATCTTGCCTACCGCTGAGACCCTCTGCTCGTCTGTGGCAGTTGAAGGTAGGATAATCTCACACTTAGCCGGATTTATGTCGAGACCAATTTTTGCCATGTCTGTGGTCAGTTCTTTCAGATCCGCGCAGATGGTGCTGACCTTCCCACCGAGGGTACCGTCATCGAGATACCAGCAGTTGAAGGGCGCGGTCGCAGCGCTGATCACTTGTTGCACTGCCAGGGAGAACAATGCCGGACCACAGGGGTCACCCTGCTGCAGACCGGTGGCGGAGGAGATCTCGGAAGTGCCGTAGAACAATGGTGTGGGCTCACTGTATGCCTGCCATAGCAGGTGGTACATTGATGGCGCACTCTCCCTTACTCGGCGCAGAAAATGGTCGCGGCGAACCGTGTTGAAGGCGTTCTTCATGTCAATTTTTACCATGACACTTTCTGTTCCGAGCGAGCGGCTGAAAGCCCGTGTTGCATGGGCAGCTGCTTCACATCCTCCTTGCGTACCGTATCCCAGCTGCGTGGGCCTCAGCTGTTCGCCCACTTCAGCGCTGAGGGGCCTCAGGGCGAGCTTGGCCGCCAACCTGCGGTAGGTGCAACCAACAGCGATTGGTCTCACACCACCGTCTGACTTGCGGAGTGCCGTTAGCGCTGCTCCAAAGAAGGCGGCTCGTGCTGAACGAGGCAACTCGCCGCTGAGCGCCATATTGACGAGGGCCGTGAGGGCGGTGATCAGTCGCACGCCGGCCTCTCCTGCCGAACGGCTGGTCAGGTCCTTGAGGTGAGCCGGTCGCAGACCATCCAGTCCAGCACTAGAGCCGGTATCGAAGGAGTTAATCGTTGTTCTGACCTCCGCTTCATTAGCAAAGTAGGGCTGTGTCCCTGCATCGGGAGGAGGAGGCATGTTCAGGTCAGACGGAGCGGGCGGGTGTTTAAGTTTTAAGCTCTCTGCGACGTCCGTTGAGTTTTGCACAATTTCTTCACTGGAAGCCAACATCCTTATTGAACCCTGTATATCTCCGTCTGACAATTTGGCTGCCACCTTTCTCTGCAGGATCTCGCCGGTCATTTCCGCTGGTCGGTGACGTTCCATCTTGCGATGGACAGTTCCGTTTCGGTTGGGGCCTGCAGCAGCCGCTGAAGCTCTCTGAAGGCTGGAGTCGGAATCCATATACATAAAAATCTGTCGCTTTACTTTTGCTGTCAGTGTCGAGCTGTCAGCAGAAGCCTGGTGTGTACTTGGCAGATGAAGCGCCAGGAACGCAAACAAAAACAGTCTCGTCCATGCTGCCTCATTTTTTTCTCCCACAGCCGTCTCTATGAGGGTTGCCAGGGCACCAGCAGCTTGAATTCTGGCTCCCCTCGGGATCCTTCGAACCACTGGGCGCGTCTGCTTGAGGTTAGCCAGTTTGAGTGCCAAATCACCGCCGTCGCAGATGGTCGTAGCAGCAGCTGGCGATTGAACCGGGTCGGCCGGCGGGCACGACACCTCCGCTGACACCGATGGGTCAGCATTGGAGGCACCGGCAGAGCACTGCGAGGGGCTACCGCTGGTGAAAATGCATTCAGGGCACCACCAGCAGGGTAGGACGTCGGCCTGCGCCCGTTTGAGACGCACGCACGTGAGGTGCCAGTGGCGATTGCAGGACTTGCATTGGATACGCCGCTTCCGTTTGTTTGTGGTATCGCAACGGGGGCAGGCTGTGCAGCGCTGCAATTCCTCGGTCTGCTGGTGGCTCTGCTGCTGGCTCTCTGGGCGGGTCTCGCTTGGGCCTGACTTGGCGGCAATCCACTTGCCACCGACGGGGTCGAAACCAGCGATATGACAGTCCGAGTCGTCAGCGTCGGAAGTTGCGTTCATTTTGCATATGTGTCGACCATTGTTCCAATTTGTGCTCCGATCCAAAATTGCGTTATTTTCGCTGATTGAGTCTTAGCAATAATAATAATTTCTTCTTGTTGATAAATACCTTTAATTTGCAACTCTCGCAACTGCAAAATCTGTATAAACAACGTCACGTTCTTTCCGTAAGAAATTAGCAGGGACTAGCTCTCAGGAAATCAAGCTCTTACCAAAATTCACGAAAATATGACATTTAACAACAATGATTTCTGCTCCGTCGCATCATTATTCAAGTTCAACTGGCGACCTCTGATGAGAAATTAAATAAGCTATCAAAGTGGCACACTTATATGCAGCAACACTCCCGAAAACCACAACTAAGCTGCGTCAAAATCGGAGCGCCGCACTGAGGTGCGATCAGCTGGCGCTCAGCCGACGAAACTCCGAATTTATATTTTTAAGAATACTGTTGCTTGTCATGCAAACGTGATGATTGGATCTTGGAGAGAATTGAATGCTCTTTCCAATGATAGCATTTTCAATTGTCAAACGTATCAGGTTAAGCAGCAAAATCCGTGTAATTATTTAGTGGCACATTTTGGACAAATACCATTTAATTCAGCGATTTTTTCCACATTGTTTTTGATCAATTAGCTTTTCACAATTTTTCCATGAGAGACGGTACATTTTTATTGCTAATAGGCGCTGTTTCAACTCATTCCGTCTGACGATCACCTGAAATTAATATAAATTCCAAAATCCGTCCAAAACGTCCATTTTTCAAAAGAAAGTGTCCTCCCCGGTGCACGTGGCGCGTGCCAACCCCTGCACCGCACACCATTCGATAGCCCGTTCGATCCTCTACACGATGCTGTTTTCCCCGTACCGGTCGGGCCCACGGTTACCGAGATATTGCACCGGGACCGGACCCGTGTCGGGCAAATTTGGCTGTGTTCGCCCGTTTTTGCCAGCCGATTAATACATGTAAAGTCTATGACGCGAATTTGCACTTTTTGGGCACGCGCCACGCGCTCGCTATCGATCCGATCGAGCTGAGACCCATCAAAGGCACGTTGTCCATCCTTGTTCTATGAGTTGCGCAAACTTCAGCGCGGTAGGTGCAACGGTGTGACCTGTAACCCGCGCTACGTAGCACCATGTCGCGACCTTCGTAATAGACAGAAACTACGTCACCTCAAATAGTAATATAGATTTTATAAGATTGGATCAGGACTCCAGGAGGTTCCACGTCAATGTGTGTCATACAAATAAAAGTCACTGTATTAACTCTCACCGGCACAGGGGGGGGGGGGGTGATGCACCCCCCCTAAGGTTTTTCGCGAATAACTCGCGTAAAAAGCGGCCGATCGCGACGAAACTTTCAGTACCCTCGCATTGATCCATTTTACACCTACCCTGAAAATTTCATGACCCTGACCCAAATGACCTTTGACCTGTGACCTCTTTTCCGAGACCATGTTTGGCCGGAATCGCGAATCGGCGTATGTCGGCTCGCATTAGCCGCGCGTTTGCAAGCTTTTCGTGGTTTCAAACGTTCAAACATGTGATTTGATGTTGCTCCCATACA